TTACCGTGTGTGCTTGAATGGCCGGGCAGTGGTTCCCGCCGCGCTTCTCCCGGCATCCGCCCCGCGGTTCCCCCAGTGACGCCCCCTTAGCTTAGCGTTGTTTATCTCATCCTAGCCTAGCTTAGCTTAGCTTAGCTCAGCCTAGCTTTATCTTAGCTTCGCTTAGCTGTAGCTTAGCTTAGCTGTAGCTCAGCTTTAGCTTAGCTTTAGCTTATCTTTAGCTTAGCTGTAATTTAGCTTTTTAGCTTACCGTTAACTTAGCTTCAGCTTAGCTTTAGCTTAACTTTAGCTTAGCTTCAGCTTAGCTTTAGCTCAGCTTTAGCTTAGCTTTAGCTCAGCGTTAGCCTCGCTTTAGCTTAGTTTTAGCCTAGCTGCAGCTTAGCTTTAGCTTCGTTTTAGCTTAGCTTTAGCTAGCATTTGCCGTTACTACTAACGCTGCTTTCCAAAGGGGCTCCAACTCCTAGGACGGGTCGCACTGGGATAATTGTTGCTGTAGTAATAATAGTAGTAGGTCGTCGTCGTAACAACAGTAAAAGTAACAGTCGCGGTCGTAGTAGTGGTAGTAGTAGTAGTCGTAGTCGTAGTCGTAGTCGTAGTAGTAGTAGTAGTAGTAGTAGTAGTAGTAGTAGTAGTGGTAGTAGTAGTAGTAGTAGTAGTAGTCATAGTAGTAGTAGTGGTAGTAGTCGTAGTGGTAGTGGTAGTGGTCGTGGTGGTAGTAGTAGTAGTAGTAGTAGTAGTGGTACTAGTAGTAGTAGTAATAATACGATTCCTAATGGTATTGCCAGCAGTAGTAGTAGTCGTAGCAGTAGCAGTAGTAGTAGTAGTACTAGTACTAGTAGTAGTAGTAGTACTAGTCGTAGTAGTAGTAGTAGTAGTAGTAGTAGGAGTAGTAGTAGTAGTAGTAGTAGTAAGTAAGTATAAGTAGTAGTAGTAAGTATCGTAAGGGTAGTAGACTAGTAATAAGAAGTAGTAAATATAGTGAGTAATTACCGTTACGTAGGTAGTATAGTAGTGTAAATGAGTAGTAGTATGTAGTAGTAGTAAGTAATAGTAGTAGTAGTAAGTATGTAGTATGTAGTAGTCGTATTTGTATGTAGTATGTTAGTATGTATATAGTATGTGTAGTATGTATAAATGTAGTAATGTATTATGTAGTATGTATTAGTAGTAGTAGTAGTAGTAGAAGTAAGTAGTATCGTAGTAAGTCATCCCGTAAGACAAGAGTATTAATATATATAGTTAGTAGAGTATAGTAGTAGTAGAGTAGAAGTAAGTAGTAGTTAGTAAGTAGCTAGCAGCAGCAGCACAGCAGCAGCAGCATCAGCACAGGCAGCAGTAGTACAACGGCACCCCCAAACTATGCGTACACCGCGAAAACGTGATTTGGAACGACCCCTCCGGGCGGAGCAAAGACAGGCCTCCACGGAGCGGGCTCGCCGCATACCGTGCATCGCCACCGGCACCCACAGAAGTTGAACCAGCCCTGGCCCGTGGCCTCTCTGGCCAGGGTGACTTTGAATAAATCGTGAGGACGCATGATGCGGGAGCCCTTCTGGTTGCAATAGGGCCCCCAGCAGCTTCATTGAATTGCGAGGAAGTCTCGGGCGAGAGCGCCGTTCCTGACTCTGGGGGCCTCTCTGGCCAGGCCCTCTCGGAGTATATCGTGACAAGGAGCGGCCTCGCCGCATCTCTCGCACTCCCACTCCTCCCCCAAGACCATCCTGCTCCCCCTACACCTCCTCCTTCTCTGAGCAGGCGACCTCCACACCAGGCCTCCAGGCAAGCTTGAAACTCTGGTAAAAAAGTGGCGCCCCAAATGTCCCAACCGCTTTGGTAGTAAAAACAAAGGTCGGCGGAGTGGAGCAAACCTTAAATTAAAAACAATGGACCCCGAACCCGAAAGGGAATAGACATGTGAGCATGGACACGTTTTCAAATGATACCCAACTGGGCAACACCTCACGAAACATCCCACGAGACACTTCACGAAACATCCCACGAGACACCTCACGAAACATTCACGAGACACCTCACGAAACATTCCACGAGACACCCCGCGAAACATTCCACGAGACACCCCACGAAACATTCAACGACGACAGGCAACCACTCAACCAAGGCGGTGTGGTCGTGCTGGGGAGTGGTCGTGCTAGGGTGTGGTCGTGCTGGGGGGTGGTCGTGCTGGGGGGTGTCGTGCTGGGGGGGTGGTCGTGCTGGGGGGTGGTCGTGCTGGGGCGTGGTCGGCTGGGGCGTGGTCGTGCTGGGGCGTGGTGTCGTGCTGGGGCGTGTGTCGTGCTGGGGGTGGTCGTGCTGGGGCGTGGTCGTGCTGTGGTAAGGTCGTGCTGGGGTGCGTCAGTGCTGGGTGGTGGCATTGCTGGGTGGGTCGTGCTGGGGTGAGATCGTGCTGGTGGGTCGTGCTGGTGTGGTCCCGGGAGAGGGTGGTCGTGCTGCGGGGTGGTCGTGCTGGGGGGGTGGTCGTGCTGGGGTGGGGTCGTGCTGGGGCGTGGTGGTGCTGGGGCGTGGTCGTGCTGGGGCGTGGTCGTGCTGGGGTGTGGTCGTGCTGTGGTGAGGTCGTGCTGGGGTGTGGTCGTGCTGGGGTGTGGTCTTGCTGGGGTAGGGTCGTGCTGGGGTCGGGGCGTGCTGGGGTGTGGTCGTGCTGGGGTATGGTCGTGCTGGGGTGGGGTCGTGCTGGGGTGGGGTCGTGCTGGGGTCTGGTCGTGCTGGGGTGTGGTCGTGCTTGGGTATGGTCGTGCTAGGGTGTGGTCGGGCTGGGGGGGTGGACGTGCTGGGGGGTGGTTGTGCTGGGGCGTGGTCGTGCTGGGGCGTGGTCGTGCTGGGGCGTGGTCGTGCTGGGGTGTGGTCGTGCTGTGGTGAGGTCGTGCTGGGGTGTGGTCGTGCTGGGGTGTGGTCTTGCTGGGGTAGGGTCGTGCTGGGGTCGGGTCGTGCTGGGGTGTGGTCGTGCTGGGGTATGGTCGTGCTGGGGTGGGGTCGTGCTGGGGTGGGGTCGTGCTGGGGTCTGGTCGTGCTGGGGTGTGGTCGTGCTGGGGTATGGTCGTGCTAGGGTGGGGTCGTGCATTTCGCTCGAGACATCCTGCCAAAATTCCAGGAAATCGTACAAAAACAAACAAATTAGTCGAAACATCATCGAAATTCCTTCGCGCGGGGCGCTTTTCCGCGTCGCGGTCGGCTCTGCAAAACAAGCGTTTCGCTCGAGACATCCTCGGCAAACTCTGCGGAGCAAGCGTTTCGCTCGAGACATCCTCAACACACGAAAAAGTGGCCCGCACCCTGTGATTTATCGATCGGGATTTCAAAAACAAGCGTTTCGCTCGAGACATCCTCAAATTTTAATTCGCCGGCAATTCGCCGGCCTCCTTCAACCTCGTTATTTATCAGGGAAAAAATTCGCCGGCAATTCGCCGGCCTCCTTCAAGCAGGCACCGGGGGACAGGTTTACCTAGTAAAAGAGAACCCTGGGCCAAAGCCCTTTCCGGGAAAAAAATCTCTCAGCGAAGCGCTCGCTCAGAACCGGAATTTTTCGTTGCTGCTGGCGCCTGAAATGGGGGCGGCAAAAATGGGGACGCTTCCCAACAGCAAATGCTGTCCAAAACTGGCGACGCTTGCCCCAAATGGACAACATCCGCGGCGACGGATCGCAACCTTTGTCGAATCGGACCGCGCCAGCACGGAACCATGTTTGACTCGGCTCGACTGCGCCACGATACACATAAACGTCGTGCAAGCTCGACCGCAGGAGAAAGATCATAATTATGCTTGGCAGCGGCGCAATGAGAGGAGGGGAGGGGAGGTGGCGGGCAAGGCTGGCCAGCCAGAGTGGCAGCACCTGGTGAGGGTTTAGCCAATGCCAATGCCCAGGCCACGCTCGGACCACGTAGTGCTCAGACCAGTCAACTTGGCATGCGAGGCGCAAGACTGACGGAAGGAGGAAGAGGTGGAGAAAAAGGAAGAAGGGCTCTGAAAAGAGGGGAGGAGGATGAAGGGGGAAGGTGGGGACTTCAAAGTCATAGCATGAGTGGTTCCGAAAGGTCGGAGCGCGCGGGGCGGGCAAACCACCTGACCGGCCTGCCCGCCCCTCCCGCGACCTCAAAAGGCGCAGTGCGAGAACAGTGGCGCCTCAGCTCGGCGGTGGACAAATCTCCTCGAATCTGGCTTGCCCCCCTCAACCTCTCCCTCGGACGGGTGCGGAAAAAGTGGATACGATGCCAAACCACAAACGTTGTACACACAATGGCGGCTGTTGAGCAGACGCGTCCTTCCCCTCCTCTTCCACTGCTTACAATTTCGTACTGCCGCGCTTGCGCAAAATACTGTAGGAACCGCATCAACAAACGAACGTGGAAACTACGGCACCGTCAGGACCCTCCCTGACCTCCTCCCTCCGCGTCTCACCCCCTCCCTCCTCCTCCTCCTCCTCCTCCTCCTCCTGCTCCTCCTCCTCCTCCTCCTCCCTCCTCTCCTCCTCCTCCTCCTCTCCTCCTCCTCCTCCTCCCCCTCCTCCTCCCCCCCCCCTCCTCCTCCTCCTCCCCCTCCCTCCTCCTCCCTCCTCCCTCTCCTCTCCTCCTCCCTCCTCCCTCCTCCTCCTCCCTCCTCCTCCTCCCTCCTCCCTCCTCCTCCCTCCCTACTCCCCTCCTCCCTCCCTTCCCTCCACCTCCTCCCTCCCTCCTCCCTCCTCCCTCCTCCCCTCCTCTCCTCCCCCTCACCCTCCTCCCTCTCCCCTCCTCCCCCTCCCTCCCCTCCCGCTCCTACCTCCCTCCTGCCTCCTCCTCCCTCCTCCCTCCCTCCCTCCTCCTCCTCCCTCCTCCTCCTCCTCCTCGCTCCTCGCTCCTCGCTCCTCGCTCCTCCCTTCTCCTCCCCCTCCTCCCTCCTCCCTCCCCCCTTCCCCTTCTCCCCTCCACAATTACTCAATATGAATACTACTCTCCCTCTTCCCCTCATGACGGCCTGGGAGTGTCCGACCCCCCCCGCGTACAGCTTTTGTACACACCGGTTTCCCCGGAGTTGGGTTTTCGCCTGCATTTGTTTTCAAAATGCTGCTCTCGATGAAACGCCAGCCTCATTTTCGGGCCCCGCTCGTTCCGAATCGTGCTCCCGCTGCAACGCTGGCCTCATTTCCGTGCTTCCGCTCGTTCCGAATCGTGCTCCCGCTGCAGCGCTGGCCTCATTTCCGCGCTTCCGCTCGTTTCGACTCGTGCTCCCGCTGCAGCGCTGGCGTCATTTCCCGTGCCATGCCACGGCGTGCAATGCAATGTTAGGTTGATGCTACGCTTTGCGGTGCTCTTCTACGCCATGCCATGCCGTGCTCTACAATGCATCGCGTACCCTTTCGGGATCATTGCCCTGCTCGACAACCGACTGTGCGAGTAGAGAGGGGATCTGCGCCATGGTAAGGGATGGGAGGGAGGGGTAGGATGTCCGATATGACGCGAGCGCACCTAGCTTGCCCCCACCCCCCCTCCACAATTACACAATATGAATACTACTCTCCGTTTTCCCCTCATGACGGCCTGGGAGTGTCCGACCCCCCCCCCGCGTACTGCTTTTGTACACGCAGGTTTCCCCGGAGTTGGGTTTTCGCCTGCGTTTTTCCGAAATGTTGCTCTCGATGAGGCGCCGGCCTCATTTTCGGGCCCCGCTCGTTCCGAATCGTACTCCCGCTGCAGCGCTGGCCTCATTTCCGTGCTTCCGTTCGTTCCGAATTGTGCTCCCGCTGCAGCGCTGGCCTCATTTCCGCGCTTCCGCTCGTTTCGACTCGTGCTCCCGCTGCAGCGCTGACGTCATGTCCCGTGCCATGCCACGGCGTGCAATTCAATGCTCGGTTGATACTACGCTTTGCGGTGCTCTTCTACGCCATGCCACGCCGTGCTATACAGTGCATCGCGGACCCTGTAGGGATCACTGCCCTGCTCGACAACCGACTGTGCGAGTAGAGAGGAGATCTGCGCCATGGTAAGGGATGGGAGGGAGGGGTAGGATGTCCGATATGACGCGAGCGCACCTAGCTTGCCCCTCCCCTCTCCCCCCATCCCCTCTCCCCCCTCCACAATTACACACTATTTATACACTCTCCTCCATCCCCTGATGGCGTGCGGGAGATAGCGGGCACCCCTCCGCGTATTTTTTTTACGCACCGGATTTCCCGGAGTTGGGTTTTCGCTTGGGCTTTTGTTCAAAATGATGCTCTCGCTGAGACGCGAGCTTCATTTTCGGTCTTCCGCTCGTTCCGAATCGTGCTCCCGCTGCAGCGCTGGCCTCATTTCCGTGCTTCCGTTCGTTCCGAATCGTGCTCCCGCTGCAGCGCTGGCCTCATTTCCGCGCTTCCGCTCGTTCCGAATCGTGTTCCCGCTGCAGCGTTGGCGTCATTCCCCGTGCCATGCCACGGCATGCAATGCAATGCTAGGTTGCGTTCCGCTGCGGGATGCCATGCCTTCAGCTGCAGCTGTCATATCCAGTGCGTAAGTGTCGCGTCATGCTATGCCATGTTACGCTTTGATCCTCAACCGCATGCTATGCAATGTTATGTTCGGGGCCGTTGTGCGATGCCATGCTTTGCGTTGCAAAGCTTTATGATGCAATTCTTCACTACGCCACGCCACGCCATGCTGTGACATGCTACGCTTTGCGGTGCTGTTCTGCGCCATTCCATGCCGTGCTCTACAACGCATCGCTTACCCTTTCGGGATCATTGCCCTGCTCAACATCCGACTGTGCGAGTAGAGAGGGGATCTACGCCATGGCAAGGGGCGGGGGGGAGGGGCAGGATGTCAGATATGACGTCAGAGAGGACGGAGAAAACGGAACGAAGGAGGACCTTTCTGTCAGAGCCGTGCCGCTTGACCTCACGGGCACTCCTGCTGCGCATTCGCGCGATGACGCTCAGGGCGGGGGAGGCTATTATATGGCGCTCATGCTGCCGAGGCGGTTGCCCATGAGGAGGTCCGGGGAAGCGAACGCGCCAGGCTGCAAGAGGGGGATGTTCAGCGACCCGCCGCATAGAAAGAACCCCATGCGCTCGCCCTTTCTGACCTCGGGGCACGAAGCGCCGCTGCAAGAGCCAGGAGGCACCGAAAGCATCTCAGCATTCACCGTGGGGCAGATGGTGTTCACGTTCGCCAAGCCGACCGCCACCTGCGCCACCAACCCATACGGGCCGGTGTCGTAGATTAATACGAGGCTGTGGAAGCCCGAGAACACGCCGAAGTCCGTGTCCGAGCTGCCAGTGTTGTCGCTGCCAAACCACCTCATGCCGTCCGGGATGCCGAAAAAAAAAACCTGGCACGTCCACCGCTTCAGCGAGGCGCCCGTCCACGGGGGCGTGGAAGTTGTGGTGAGCGTAAGGCTCGAGCACGTTGGAGACCGCAGTACCACCGATGAACTTCGAGGCCAGCGCGGAGCCGTTCAGCAACTCCTTGACATTGAAGTCGCTCCCCTTTCTCGGGCAGCCTGGTCTGGTTCGTGAGATAGTTGATGATAATATTGATATCCACGTCCCCTGGGGCTGTAACCAGAATTTTGTCCTCTGGCTGACTGATGGGCCTGCTCTTGTTGTAATCTTTGAAGATCCTCGAAAAGTACTGGTTAAAGGAATTGTAACCGTGGCCAGGGGGGGTCGTCGGGATCGAAGCCCTCATAGGCAGACGTGTTCCCCTGGACGTTGTCGGCCTGAGCAGGGTCGTTGACGTACTCCACCCACCGCGCAACCGTAGCAAGGGAGGCTTTCGAGTCCATATACATGCCCCTCAGAGTGACCCACTTGTACGTCCAATCGAAGAACTCTGTGGTGGCCGTGGTCGCCGGAGGCGTCTGGCTTTTGAACTTGTTGAAGAGATCAATCGCCGCCTGGTTGCGGCGCTGGAGGAAGTTCATCTTGAGGATGTGCGAAAACCCGTTGTCCTTGCCAGTCGGTTCGGGGAGCGTGAGGAAGTACGAGCGCATGAACTCCACGAACTCCGCCTGTGACGCTCCGATCCATGGGTTCGGGAAGGCCTGGGGCGGATTGTCTGCGTTTTTGACAATGGGCTCCAAGCCCTGGATGGCCCTGTCAAAAGCCGCTGCCACCGTCGGGTTGCTGAAGAGACGGTTGAGTTCGCAAGTCAAGTAGTCCCAAGCGGCGTCGAAGTCTTCCATCGTGTAATTGTTGAACTTCTTCGCGCAGTGCCTCTTGTCCTGCTCGATGGCCTCCTGGCCCGAGCCGTACATCACGTCCTGCGGAGGGAAGACGGGCGAGGACTGGCCGAAGGGCTCCTGCACCGTGGCGCCGTACGGCGGATTGCCCGTGGATTGCCCGGTGAGGGGGATCTTCGCGCTGCTCAGCACCTCCTCTACCAGCGGCGAGTTGCTGGCAAGACTGGAGCAATTCTCAGCCTCCTTCGTCGCCGCGCGCATGTGCATGAGCAGGGCGACGCCGTCGTCCTGCTCGTCCCCGCAGGACCCCTCGCCGACCACCTCGCGAGACGAGCCGGCGGCCAGGGCGCCCGAGTACAGCAGCAGGAGGAAGAGCGAGAGCGCCGGCGAGGACCACCTGCTCGGGAAGTACATCTCCATGCAGCGGGGTGGGGGCTGCGCAGACAGCGCGACAACGTCCGCCGTGAGGCTGTATAGCTTGAGCCAATATCGCTACGGGTGGAGATCCACCACCGTGCCCCCTGGCACGTTGAGGCGTGCTAGCATGCCAAGCGCTGGTTTGGTAGGTTTTCTGTAAATCTTCCAAGGGAGCCCCCCCTCTCATCGCACTTCCGTGCGCGCATCGGCCTCCCTCCCGAGGCCACAACACCTTCGAAAAAAACCACAGATTCGCGCCAAGATGGGCTCTGAGAGCCCCAAGAAGCCGCCAAGACGGCCCAAGAGGGCCCCGAGGCGCCCAAAAATCACCCCAAGACGCCAAAGACGGCCCCAGCGCCGATCCGAGAAATCCGCGCGGACCTCCGAGTTTTTATGTTTATGCCACTTTTTGTTCCCTACAAATCACAGAAGAAGAACAACACGCCATGAACAGAAACTTTTGGCGCTCCGCGTGGGCTCCTCGGATCCGCGCTGGGCCCCCCCTCCCTGGCGCGCGGAGCGCGCGTCGGAGCCGGCGGGTCCCCCAGGGGCAGCCACAAGTTCGCGGCCCGCGCCTCGCGCGGAGCGCGAACAACTTTGTTGAAGGGGCCCTGGGGCACACAATTAAATACACACGGATAAAAATATTCCCCATAGTTTCCCATACGTATGTTCTGGGTTTTTGTCTTCCCCCCCCCCAATTCCTATATTTTCCCAGCTTCTCCTGGGAGTCGATGATTAATTGTGTCTGTGTGTTTCTTTCCCTCCTGATTTGGGGCGCTCTCGCGCCGCCCCTTCGGGGGAGGAGAGTCGGAAGCTGGCGAAGGGCTGGCAAGTCCGTAGCTGCCAGAACGGTATTCCCGGAAGGGAGAAAAACATACACCTTAGGCGATGCTTAAGAAAACTTAAGTTTTCGACCAGAGTCTCGATTATTCTTAATGTTTCAATGTAAATCCTAAGGTTTTAATGGAAACGTTGGGTTTTAATTCAAGTTCTGAGACTATGAATTTCTTAACCCATGATTTCTTAAGCATTTCGCAGGGTGTACTCCTGGAATCGAGTTCCGCGCACGGAAGGATAAAGAAAGAAGGCTGCCTCCCGGAGGCAGCAACACAAACCATTTCCCGGAGCGCTGCTGTAATTAGCAGCCACGGGGTTGCCGGCCGTCGCCCGGCTGCTGAGAGCAGGAGAGGACGAAGAGGATGAGGATGAGGACCCGCGAGTCGCGCTAAGACGAGGCCCAGCGAGGGCCCCCTGGAGGAGAAGGAGGAGGAGGAGGAGGAGGATCGAGGAGGAGGAGGAGGAGGAGGAGGAGGAGGACGAAGAGGATGAGGATGAGGATGAGAGAACCTCGTGCCCTCGCGGCGGCCCGGAGTCCCCCCAAGGGGGGTGAGGACGACCACAGCGCCTCCGGGCGTGGCCGGTCTGGCACGAGGCTCTCTCTTTCGAGGGCAGCGCCTGCCAGAGGCAGAGAGGAGGGCACGGCACGCAGGGTACAACGGCGGCCCTGACTCTGCCTGACGACTGTGCGCCAAGGGGTGCATCGGGCTCCCTCCCGCCCCCTCCTCCCCTGCCTCCCTCCTCCCTTCGCCTCCCCTTCCTTTCCGTGGTCCGTGCGGCAATTCGACGGGTCGCATTGTGGCGACTCTCTGGGCACGCGGTGTCGCAAAAGGCGTGTGCACCGTGCCGTGTCTCGCTGGCCTCACCCGCCTGTGCAACGGTTCGTGTCGCTCTCGCCGTCGTGCCACGCCGGGGCGCGGCGGCCGTGAGCAGTGCGAAATCAACATGAAGCTCTCTCGTTATCTGCAGGTTCCCATCCGAGCGGGGAAGAGGGGGATGACGATTCGTTCCCCGAGCGCCGATGAGCTTCGGGGCGATGATGTTGTTCACGTTCGCCACTGCCTGCGGCATCGCTCCCAAGGTCTGGACTGCCGAGCGACTCATCTCGCCCAAGCGCCGCTTGCCCCTCCTCGCACTCACTCGTGTCTTTCCTCCCCCTTCCTCCGTCCTAGTCCAACCTGCCCTCCCTCTGCTCAATCCTTCCACGCCCTCCTATCCCCTGCCATCCTTCGTCACTCGTCCCTCCTCCCTTCACCTTCTACTTCCTCCTTACTTCTTCCCGCCTCCACCCTCCACCCCGTCATCGTCCCCCTCCACTCTTGACCTTCCTCCTTCTTCGCCCTCCGCCGTCCTCTGTCAGTCTCGTCCTCGTGCTCACAGCACCTGCCTCGTCGCAAGCCCGATACCATGGCGACAAGGGCCTCCCGAGTGCCCACGCACCAGGCGAAGAGGAAGGGGGCGGCAGCGGCGACGTGCGCCTCCAGGCCCTGCTGCCCACGTCGGAGCTGGCTCGTGCCCTGGGACCGCCCTACAGCCGAAGCCTTCGCGCACGCGCGCGCCCTGCCAGGAGTCGCCGTGCAGCCGTCGTGCTGGCAGCAAGAGGGCCGAACAAGGAACGCAGAAGGCCGGTCTGAGCAAGGCGTGCCTCGGCCAAGACCAGGTCCCCGACCTGGATGGGGAGTGGCCGAACGCCAGGGCCGCACCCCGAGCCCAGAGCGGTCCTCGCGTCAGCGTCTTGACTACACGGCAAGTCTGTGCTGTGACGAAGTCGACGGTCGTTGCCGACACGGCGGTTCTGGCACGGCGTGGAGCGTCCGGCCCTGAGCGATCGGCTGCGCGGCTTTTCGATCGCCAAGTCGTTCCAAAGTGACCGATTCTGGGCGACTGGCGGCGCTCAATCTTTCAATGCCCGCGGCGGGGTCGCCGCCGCTTCGACACGACGCGGGCCTGCCGTGTATGGTGCGTTGTTGTTGGTGCTGTTGGTGCTGCTACTGTTGTTGCTGTTGTTGTTGTTGCGGTTGGTGTTGTTGCTTTTGTTGTCGTTGTTGGTCTTGTGGTTGTTGTTGTTGGTGTTGTGGTTGCTGTCGGTGTTTTCGCTATTATTGTTGTTAGCGTGGTTATTGCTGTTATGTCTGAATGTTCATTTATAGAACATAAATATTGGTGATCTCTGGAAACGGATCCGCGCGCTCTCGCCTCGACGCTGGCTGCATGTCCTCTGAAAACGAAACTCCCGTTCGAGCGTGGGCTTGATTGCAAATGTGTGCCCCTTGAGGCCCGGCTACAACGACGGCTCCCGCTCGATACTTCCCCACAAGTTGCCAACTTACCCCGAGACACCCTGGCCAGAGAGGCCCCCGAACTCAGGAACGCCGCTCTCGCTTGACTTCTTCGCAGTTCAGTCACGTTGGCGGAGACCCAGCCACGACGACAAGGGCTCCTGCTCGATACCATCTCACGCTTTCCTCCGAGAGCGCCTGGGCAGGAAGGCCCCCGAACTCGGGAACGGCACTCTCGCTCGAGACTTCCTCGCGATTCAGTCAAATCGGTGGAGGCCCAACTACGACGACAAGGGCTCTCGTTCGATACTTCCTCGAGATGTACTCCCAGAGCCCCTGGCAAGAGAGGCCCCCGAACTCAAGAGTGGCGCTATCGCTCGAGAATTTCTCGTAATTCAGGCAAGTAGGTGGCGGCCCAGACACGGCGACAAGGGTGCCCGTTCGATATTTCGCTATATGTGTTCCGAGAGCCCCTGGCCAGAGAGGCCCCCGAACTCAGGAAAGGCGCTCTCGCTCGAGACCTCGCACTCTAGTCAGTGGCCAGCAAGGGAGAGGTTCCCCCCCGAAATGGGGGCGCGATCGAAGACGAAGTGGGCGGGTTATCGATGGTTGGGGCCTACAGAATGCAAGGCACGCGTGCCAGTAAGAGCGAACTGTCTAAAAATGATTGTTGCTGACAATGCTGTTGTTGCTGCTGCTGTTTATCATAGGGGGCAAAACGGACATCGGCATCACCGCCATCGTGGGGGGCCAGGGGGCGTCGTCCTGGTGTGGTCCCTCCTTCTTTGCGGCGTCCAGCTTGAGGCATCTCGGCATCTCCCGTCTCCAGCTCGTGGAGGCCTCGTGGACCTCCTCGCTGGAGGTGGCCCGCTGGTGGTGGTGGTGGTGTCGCTCATCCTGCGTCCGAGAGGGAGTAAGGGAGCGAGCGGGGGGCCGATTCCGGTCGTCGTGGTCGCGTTTGGCTCCGTGGCCCGTGCCCCATGCCCTCTGTGCGGGTGGAGGCAGAGCGGTTGGGCGTTGGAGCACGCTTGTTCTACCTAGGGTGCTTTGTGCGCCTCTGGCAGTCAGGGGTAGACCCTCATTACAAGAACCAGTGGGCCCAGGTGAAGGGAGGACGAAGGGATGGAGTGACGAAGGCAGACACGGAAGCCCCCCCCTCCCCTCTCTGCTCCTCGAGATCCTGGCCGATGCGGCATCCGAGGAGAGGTCCTGGGGCTGATTCTGTGAGCGGAGGGTTTTTTCTAATATTGTTTCTGTGGGGTCCATAATGTGGGGTCCTTCTCCATGTCCTACCATTCCCCTCCCTGCCTCTCTCCCTCCCTCCTCTATTCCGCAGGCCGCCTCCATCCCCCTCCCACCTCTCCCCCATTCCTCCCTCACTCCTCCTGTCACTCTTCCTAATCCTCTTTGTTCAGGTCCCCCCTCCTCCTTGTCCTCCTCCTTCTTCCTTCTTCCCTCTCCCACCCACTCCTCTGCCTGCTCCGCCTCCCTTCACGCTCGCCCTCCTTTTCCCTGACCCCCGTCCCTGCCTGCACTCCTCCTCCTCCTCCTCCTCCTCCTCCTCCTCCTCCTCCTCCTCCTCCTCCTCCTCCGCCCCTCTCCGCCTCCTCCTCCCCCTCCTCCTCCTCCTCCTCCTCCTCCTCCTCTTCCTCCTCCTCCTCCTCCTCCTCCTCCTCCTCCTCCTCCTCCTCCTCCCCATCTTACGAGTACGGGGAAAGAGGGAGCGGGCCGGGGGAGGAGCAAGGAGGAGGAACAGGCAAAGCATGAGGCGTCGGGGACGAGACATCGGGAGCGGCCAAGAGGCGGGTGTCCAAGAGGGGGGGGGTGCAAATCATGGCCGGCGGCATGTGCGCGGCCCAGGGGGAGGACCGAGGACGTATTGAAATAAGAAGAAGCGCCATGACATCTGTTGAAATATCATGGCTCCCGTCAGGATATCCAACCCCCCCTAGTCATCACCCCCCTCTTTGCCACCCCCGAAGACACTTAGAGGCCCGCCTGGATGGGGTCCGAGTAGCTCGGGTCGGAGAATCGGGCCGCATCAACGCTGCATTGGCGACGCAATTGGGCGATGCATCGGCGCCGGCGGCGTGGAGAGAATCGAGCTGCACGCCGAGCCGCATCGGCGATGCGGCGATCCTCCGACCGCATTTACTCGGACCCCATCTGGGAGGCCTAGAGCGCAAGAGAAGGGGCGAAGAGATGATCAGCGAGAAGGCGGCGGAGTGCTGTCTGCCATCGCGCGGCGTCACTCCGCACACAGGTCCGCCAGCGCCTGAGGTGACACGTTCCTGCCAGACACCTCGGGTGATGCTAACCGACCACCTCACCGACCTTGGTTGGGTCCGGGACTTGCCGGGAAAAAACGAGGCCTGAAAGAAACGGGCCCTGGAACCGGGGACCCCCCCCCACGAGCACTTCTTCATCCTGAACCGGTTTTGATCCCAGGGCCTGAGGAGGACCCCGAACACCCGAGAATGGCGAACGAAACTTCCGGAACAACTTCCCTCAGGACCTCCTCCTTCGCGGCGACGGGATGGGCCTGGCCAGGGCGTTCACCTGTCCCCAAGGCGGGCTTCTCATCCCCAGCAGGTCCATGACGGCCCCAGGGAAATCCTGCGTTTGGAGTTTTGTCCCAAGCAACTTCTCTGCAAGGGTTCTATATGCTGCTTCGAACGTTTGCTGAGCGAATCCGGACCCCCGAAATCGCCCCCCCCCCCCCTTCATCGTGGCGCCCCCCCATCGTGGCCCCCCCCCAATCGTGGCCCCCCTTCGCGAACCGCGTGGAACTTCCAGGGCTTTCTGCCACCGAGGTGCCTCGCAAAACTCGGAACCGGGCGAGTTGAAGCGGCGGCAGCTCTCGAACTCGGCGCACGGGCACGCCCTCGGGGCCCACGCGCACAGATTTCCCGAGCTGCGTGCAGCCGTGGCGATGATGGGAGCGCCGTGGAGGCCGATCGCCGTTGTCCCCACACGCCCTCCGCAAAAACGCTGGACACCAGGGGCCCGTGTTTTAGCCCGCTTCTGGCCCCGCCACCTCCCCCCGTCCCCCTTCCCTGGTCGCATCGCGATTCACGCCGGCGCCGTCTGGGAATAAACCGCGCCTAAAAATTGCCAGACGGCGCCAACGCGAAGCGTGACGTGACTGGCCCATTCCCCCCCCTCCCCCTTCCCCAATGTCGTCCCCCCACACCCACGACGTCATCATTTTTTCAGCGCGTCGAGCCCTAGAAATCTCGACCTATTTCCGGGGGCCGCCATTTCTCCTGAATCATTTTTGGACGGCCCCCAGGCCCAGTCGCAGGCCCCCAACAGCCCTCGAGAAGGGCAACAGTTTCGCAGATCGCAGCACCCCCCCTGGAATGGCGAGGGCAAGCCACGTGAAAGGCAGGAAGGAATAAGAGGAGCGAAAAGAACAGGAGGAGGAGGAGGAGGAAGAGGAGGAGGAGTAGGCGTGAGGCCAAGATAGGAGAGGGAGAGGAGGAAATAAGAGAGGAAGCAGGAGGCGGGAGGAGAAGGAGGAGGAGTTCGCGACCGCAGTGCTTTGGTCAAAACGAGAACCCAACGCAGGAGGGCGGGAATGCCAAGCGCCCTCCGGGGCTTGACGCCGCCCGGACACCGTGCACGCCACCCGCCCGCCAGCGAGGTCGCCGCACCTCCCGGCGAGCACGGCGGCCACCGCCGCGGCGCCGCTGGCCTCCACCACGTGGCCGTGGCGGAAGAGGAACCGCACCGCCGCCCGCACCTCCTCGGCGCGAGAAAGGGGAGGAGGAGGAGGAGGAGGAGGAGGAGGAGGAGGAGGAGGAGGAGGAGGAGGAGGAAAGAAAGCAGCTGCGGGTAAGCCTGAAGGACGTTGAGGCAGGGACCGACTTCAGACTCAGACCGACCTCGCACCCGGCCGAACTCGGACCCGAGCGCCGCGCTCCAGCGGGAGCCGGCCCGGGCCCGAGCTCAGCCGGGCCCGGGTCCGGTCTGGTCCGAGGTCGGCCCTTTCCCTAAGCGGCCGGAGGGTATCCCGCGTGCCTGCGGGGTGGGTCGCGGGCGGGTCGCGGGAGGCGGGTCGCGGGGGGCGGGTCGCGGGGGCTGGGTCGCGGGATGGGCCACGGGGGTGGGCCGCGGGCGAGGACGACGACACCTGCTGGAAGGACGCCCGGACCGGCGCCCCGCGCCCCTGCCCATCCCCCACCGCAGCGCGAGGGCTGCAGAAAGGGGCCCCTTGGGGCCCTCAGGGGGGCCCTTTCGGCCCCAAAGGGGGCCCACCTTCCCAGACCGCCGACAGCGTGGCTTTTTCACAACGTCGACACCCGGAGGCTGCGACCTCTTTTCCCACCCCCCACCGCAGAAATCCCGACAACAAAAACGACTTCGCCTACCGAGGAGCCTTGGGAGGCATCCTGGCACGATTACCTACAAAAAGACTCCTTGGTAAGGATTGCTCCCCAAGGACTCCTCACTGAGGGCTCCTCTGCAAGACTTCCTTGCGGCGGATGCCGTGCGACGGGTTCCTTACCATGGCGCCCGTACCAAGGATTCCTGACTGAGGATTCCTTACTATAGAGTTCTTGCTAAGTTTCCCTTAATAAGGGTTCCTCTCTGTGGATATCCGACAAAGAACTCATTAAACAGTCTCTTAACTTACGATCCTCCACATACTGCCGTACTGATGAGCACTAAAGGCCCGTCACTAAGGACTCCCAATTAAATATGCCTTACAACAAATTTCCGACCAACGGCACCATACTGACAATTCCGGGCTATGGGTTACTCACTGAAAATTCCTCGAACAGGAATTCCGGATCAAAGACTCATTACCAACGATCCCCAACAACCGATCCCTTTCTCAGGGCTCCCTAGTGAGGGCTCCTTTTTCAGAAGATTTCGTGCTAAGGCCGCACTACGGATTCCCGAGAACATATTCCATACTAAGGCTTCCTCCCAAAGAACTCCTTGCAAAGGACTCCTGAGTAAGGACTCCTTACGAATGATTCCTTGCTACGAATTCCTTACCAAGGCGCCCGTACTAAGGATTCCTGACTCAGGATTCCTTACCGAGGAACCCTTACGAAGACTTCCTTAATACGGAGACCTTCCTCACTCTGGATTCCCGACAAAGAATTCCTTACAAGGATTCCTCACTCAAGATCCTCCATAAGGCCGTAGTAAAGAGCACTGAACACGTGTCACCCAGGGCCCCCAACAAAAAACTCCCTACTAAGGATTCCCGGCCAGGGATTCCATACTGAGAATTTCAAACTAAAGGTCCCTTACTGGAGATTCCTCGGTACAGAATTCCCAACTAAGGATTATTTACCAAAGATCCCAAACGAACGATTCCTTACCCACGGTTCCCTACTGAGGACTCTTTTCTCAAGATTTCGTACAAAAGGCTTCCTTGCTAGGGCTTCCTCCCCAAAGGCTCCGTACTAAGGGCTCCTCAGCAAGACTTCCTTGCGACGAATTCCGTGCTACGGATTCCTTACTAAGGGGCCGGTACCAAATTGACCCAGGACTCCTTACTAAGACTTCCTGGATAAGTATTTCCCACTGTGGATTTCCAACAAAGAACTCCTTAACATGACTCCTTACTCAAGATCATTCACATACTGCCGCTCTGAGGAGCACAAGAAGCTCGTCACTAAGGACTCCCTATGATTCCACATTGAAGATTCCAGAATCAGAACTCCTCACTGAAGATTCCTCGGTCAAGATCCCCCGACTAAAGATTCTTCACCAAAGATCTCCAACGAACGATTCCTTAGTGCGGGCGCGACCGCAAGAATATCCCCGCAAGAAACCCAACCCTGAAAACCCGCGCGCGAGGAACATCTGAGGGGAAACCCAGAGCACCCTGAACGCAACAACTTCTTCAACGGCCGCGCGAAGTCACCACGCAGCGCGCGGAGCGAACGAACCCAAGATACCCTGACGAACCAGATGGTTTCTTAATGCGCGCCCCCACTGTACTCACGGTTCCATGCTGACGATCCCTTTCTCCTCAATATTGCTTCCTTGGATGCCCTAGTACGGGCTCCATACGGAGGACTCCGTACTGAGGGTTAACTCGTAAGGTCCCCGTACTATGATTTCTCCACTAAGGAATACGTACACATGGTTTTATGGTATGGGGCTCCGTACCAAAGACTCCGCAATCAAGATTCCCAACTAAGAATGCTTTACTAGGGTTTTCTGTAGAATAGTCCACACGACGGATTCACAACTAAACATTCCTGTTTCTCCAGAAGAAACCACAAAACAATTCGTACGACGGAATCCACAGTAAGGGTCAGGAACTACGGATTCCTAAAAATTCCCTGCCAGAGAATCCCGACTGAGAATCTTTAATGAAGAGCCTTTATCAAATGCTCTGTGCTGCTGATCCCCTGCTGATGACCCCCTGCTAAAGATTCCCGACTGAAGATTTCGCAGAACGGATTCCGTATCCAGGATGCTTTACATAAAGATTCCTTATCAAGTACTCCCTGTCCACTACAGATGCCTTACTAAAGGTTCTCCACGATCAATTCCTTACCGGCGATTTTTTGTCGCAGGATTCACCACCAAGGATCCCATGTCAAGTTTCCTTACGAAGTTTCAGTGCAGCGGATTTCTTACTAAGGAATCCTTGCAAAAGGATCCTGTCAGAAGGACTCTTGGATAACAGACTCCTTGCTAAGGATTACTTAGCTTAAAACAAAGGGCCCCCACAAAATGGCTCCTTACTGCGGAGTTTTTAACCAGGAGGTCCTGTGTAGGGAATCCATTGTATGGAGGCTCCTTCAAACATGTTCAAATGACAATTCCCTGCTCAAGGTTCGACCCTTAGGAGAAAAAAAGAGAGTCCCCAGTAAGGACAACGTACGAAGATTCCTTGCGAAGGAAGGCTCTCTATGAACGAGTCCCTACTGGGAATTCCCAAGGAAAGACGCCATCACTACGGTTGCCATGCTGCGGAGTCTTTGAAAGGATCCCGCACCCTGGCATTCCTTACCAAAGGTTCCCTACGAACGAACCTTTACTGGCGATGACCAACGACAAATTTTCTTTTCAAATCTTCTTGTGAAGGTTTCCGTGTCAAGGATTCCTCACCAAAGATTCGTGCCTCCAGATTTTTCACCACGGACGTTGTAGTAAGGATTCTTTACGAAGGAGTTATCACTGAATACCCCATATTCAATAATCCTTACTACGGTTTCATTACCAAGCTTTCCGGACCAATGATTCCCTAATAAGGATTCTTCGGCAAGGAATTCTCTGGTCAAGGTTCCTTGCGGAGGATTCCTAACTAACGACTCCTTACCAAACACTACATGATAATGATTCGTTCCTCCAGCTTCGATTTCCAAGGATGCCCTACGACTGGCGCGCCACCAAGGGTGCCTTACCAATGCTTCCTTACTACGGGTTCCAGCATCAGGATTCCCTTAGAATAACATCCCCATTCAGGTTCATCATCCCCGTTCTAATCATTGACATCGTCGTCACAATCTCCATATTCTTCACCAGGGCTCCCCGACACCTCGAGGCAAGATGTTCCTTACATGACGGCTGTCCTGTACCTCCTTTTCGTGTTTCTCCCCGTACTCCCCGTCCTCCTCATCACCACCACAACCATTTACACCAACACTGCCACCATCATCAGCACCATCATCATCACCACCAGCATCATCCAAATTACCGTTGTCACCATCATCATCACCACCACCAACAGCCGCCACATCATCATCGTGACCGTCATGATCATCATCATCGCCATGACCATCATCACCACGAGCGCAGTCATAATCAGCATCAGCACGATCGGCGTTATAATCAAACTCAACCATCACCATCATCATCCTCCTCGATATCCCCAATACGAATATTCCAAGCCTAGGGAGAATATGTGCCACCTCACTCTCCTCCTTCTCCACATCGTCCTCGTCGCCTTGGTCATCATCAGCACAACCAGTACTACCATCGTGACAACCATTATCATCCCCTGCATCATCCTTAGTACCCCACCGTCACCATCACCACAACAATCACCACCACCACCACCATCATCATCATCATCATCATCATCATCATCATCATCATCATCATCATCATCATCATCATCACCATGACCACTACCAACATCACGGCCGCTACCCGTACCAACGACGCAGCCATCAACATCACCAGCACTGTCGTCACCGCAAAACGTAACATCCTTATCATCATCTCGATCCTGGTGACACTTCGTTCAAGCGTGGATATACGATGTGACACGAATACATCAACTCTCATTTCCTCTGCCTCCTATTCTTGTTTGTCAACCTCGTACGCCTCGTCGTCATCATTATGACCGCATCCTCCTCCTCATTGTCATTAGTGTCCCCGTCGTCATCGACATCATCATCCTCCTCATCCTCAGCACCATCATCATCATCGTCGCCATCGCGATCCCCCAAACATCCTTTCAGAATCCTTGAACATCACCCAAACATCTTGTGACAATCCCCCAGGGACTCTTCACGAACCCTTGAATTTTTGAGTGGTCCGCACACATGCTTCTGAATCCTGTGGGATGCTCAAGAATCCCTCGGAATGCCCTTGGAATCCTCCGGGAATCCTCAAGGAACCTGGTGGAAGTTTTCGGGAATCCTTCTTCAGCAATCCTTTGGGAATCCCCAGAAATCATTTGGGACCCCCCACGAATCTTCAAACATATTTCAGATTTTTCTGGGAGCCAAAAGGAGTTCCCTGACGACGCCCAGGAGGTATCAA